CAAATGCTGCAGGGTCAAACAAAGGCTTGATTCCAAACCTTTTCTGTGGCAGTTCAGTGGAAGACCTTATAATTTTGTGATTTTATGAGCAGTTGGAATTAACTTCAAGAAAAACCACCAGTTCTCTGTGGATACAGAGAGAAATGCTAAAAAGAAATTTTGTTAACCATAGCAACTGAAAATGCTTTTCTTTACACAGACTACACAATGTTTGGGAGAAGATATGAGTTATCTGTTATGTAGAGTCATAGCACACATTTTGAATATGAGCATTTATCTATGTTATAATCATGTAAATTATTTTCTACTGCCCCATTAAGGAATATAATACTCCCTTGCAGAGCAGATTAAAGAAAAAAATAGAGATTCTGGGGACCAAGGCTTATTATGTCTCTTAAAACACAACTTTTCCTAGGATATGCTCTACATGAGAGAAAGTTATCAGCTCACTCCCAACTGCTCTTCCTCTCTTATGAAGATGTGGGAGGTATTTATCAAATGCTGCAATATGTTTCTCTCTCTCCAGCTCACTTACATCGTTTTTGCAGAGTATCAAACACATTTGCAAAATTAAAAACCTCCATATAGAAAATTTACTATGGTACTTCTTTTATGCCAAGAACTAAAACTAAGGCTTAAGCTTTAGTTCAAAGGAATATTTATCTCTCTGAAGGGAGTGTAGAATACAGTGAGATAACTGCTATAATTCTTCAGCTCTACTGAATTTGCAAAATGGTCCCAGCTTTACATATTTTCATAATTTGTTTCAATGAGGGAGTCTTAAAGATTTTATATTAAAGAAATTAACAGGTCCATAGAGAAAATGATCAATTTAGGTATTTTAAATATAAGATGTGACCAAGAATTTCAGTGGCTCTAATTCACCATGGTTCATTGAGATTATGTTTCAAAATAGGGTTTTTGGCTTAAGCAAGGAGACCAGTCGTAGGATATCAGATCCCTCCAGTCTAGTTTCACTCATGGGGCTCAGAGTGTTAGAGTTATAAGGCAATGGGCTTTGTCTAGTTGGATGATCAGAGGTCCTGATTAGTTTTGAAATTTAGCTTGTAACTCAGAGAATATTTATTAAGCACCTAATACGTGCCAAGCATTGTGCCATGAATTGTAGATAAAGACATGAGCAAGACAGATCCAATCTTTGCCCTTAAAAAATCCAATAGTGGATGAGAGATTATTAAATAATAATGCCAAGAGACAAATATCATAGGACAGAAGAACAGAGAGCTTGAGAACATCCAGAAGGACCTGATGCAGAAGTGATGGGTCAGGTTGGGCTTCCCAGAGCCTGAGTAAAAGACACCTAAGCTGACACCTAAAGGATAAGTAGCAGTTATCCATGCAGCAGCGATGACAGAGGAGCGAGGCGTGCTCATGTCAGGGGGTGTGTGGGTGGGCTTTGCTTGTGGGTGGAGCATAGGGAATGGGGCTGGGGAGGCCTGTGGAGGCAACATCATGGCGAGCTTTGGAAACCAGGTTAAGGGGTACACTGTTGTCCAGTGGCAATGTGAAGCTACTGGAGGATTTCATCAGAGGAAGGACAGGATCAGATTTGTGTTTTAAGAAGATCACTCTACAGCATGGCAGACAGATTGAAGGGCAGAAGGTACCAGAGACAGCAGAGGGACCAGTGAGGAGACTTAACAGTAAGCTGGGCCATAGTAGCAGTTGGGATGATGAAATGTCTCAGTTCCTGAGATAACTAGGAGAAGCATCCAGAGTGACCTACTGATTATGGGGAATGAAGCAATGGAAAGAGTCAAGGTTACCTCCCACCTCCAGCATTCTGTCTTGAGCAGAAGTATGAGAAATATTCAATAGGAAGGCAGGAAGGAAACTTCTTATTGGGATACTAACAAGGTATGTCTTAGCAAATAGGAAGCCCTTAGAAAGATGGCCATATAATACTACAAATAGTTCAGAATATTTTTTCTGCTTTAGATGAAGGTTGCCTTTTCTAACTGTAAAGACCTGTATCACTAGATGTTTTTCAATCTTTACGTGGGAGCAGCAGTTTATAGGCTACCGATAATTGAATATCCCCCTTTAATGTTGGTTCATGAAAATGTGAAACTGTCATTGCTAAAATTCACAGTTTCTCCCTGAATAAATGAAAATTCTGTACACATCTGCATTTGCTCAAGTTGTTGTGTTCCTAGAAAGAGCTCAGGGACACCTGCTTACATTTTGATCCATGACTGAAATTTATTCCACCCCTAACTGTGAATTAAATATACAGCTGCTGGAAATGTCAGCAAAGTCACATAAAAGGAACTCTGATTCACTGCTGTTATACTATTAAATAATCAGTGCTCCTGTCACATTGAATTGGATGTAAAAGTGCCTTGTGGCTGTTATTCCTACTGGGAGTCATGTTAAAATGCCCCCTCTCTTTACCCATTAAAATCAAGTGGGCCACATAAATACATTGCAGATACAGGTGACTGAACATATTGAATGAAGTCACTTTTTTCAAATAGGCAGCTTAGTCTTTCCTGTTTGTTCTGCAGTAATTCTTGAACATCCTGGCTGATTATCATCAAATCTGGTGTAACTACTAAAGAATAGTCAGACATCACTTAGGTTAGATTTGTGGATCAAGCTGTCATCTGATATACAGAACAAACGAGTGGTTACCAGTGGGGAGAGGCAAGGGGGAGAGGGGCAACATAGGGTAGGTAATTGAGAGGTACAAACCATTAGGTACAAAATAAGCTACAAGGATATATTCTATGATATGGAGAATATGGCAAATAGTTTATAATAACTATAAGTGGAGTATAACCTTTAAAATTGTGAATCACTATATCATATACCTGTAATTTATATCATATTATACAGCAACTATACCTCAATAAAAAGTTTAAAAATAAATCCTTAAAAAAGGCTGCCATCTGAAAACAACATGATGGTCAATATTCTTAAATTTCTTTTTTATAGTAATCCTATCTGTATAAGGAAAATGTCCTCTTCTTATAGATACTTTGTTAGGAGTTGCTGAAATACAAATTAGTTTTTATGAAATTAGCCTCTTCTAATAAACAAAAGGCAAAACTCTTATGAGAAAGTTACCATTATCTGTCAACATAGTGCATTTGCAGAAGGAGGAAGGGAAGGAGGCAAAAGTCAGAAGAAGGGGAAAGGGAGGAGGGAGAGGAGGAAGGAGGGAACAGGAGTGGGGGAGAGAGAGAGAGAGACAGAGGGCGCTACAGTTTATGGAAACAGCCGCTAAGGGAGAAGTTGGCTACAGTAGCCACTGTTAGTTATTCCATACGTACTTGTTAAACCTAACCACTTCCAACATGGGTTGGGAACCTCCTAAAACTGTTACTAATAAAAATAAAAATCTGCCCCTACCAGTACCACTCTGAAGAAATGCTTCTACTTATCAAAGATATTTCCATACGCTTACCAGTGGCAGGGTCGGCACCAAAAGTTTGCTATTATTTCAGTTATTAGAAAATCTCTATAAGACAAATCTTCCTCTCCTCTCTGTCATTTCCACAATAATTTTCTAGAAAAAAAGTGTATCTAATTGTAGGCCTTTAACTGCAGGGGTGGGAGGGGAATTAGAAAGGAAGGGACTGTTGGGAGAATAAAGGACAGAAAGAAGGGGTAAATCTGAGGTTTTTTTGCTCCCGATCATTTGTTCTTCCAGTAGTGACATCAGAAGGACTTGGGTTTAGATCCAGGATGTGTTTTCTTTCTTGAGAAGTTTATTTTATATCTTTGAGCTATAGTTTCTTCTTCTATAGAATAGCATGCGTGAATATATTTCTCATGGGGTTGGTTGTTGTGAGGATTAAATGTATATAAATTGCCAGGCACACCAGAGGTGTTCAATAAATACTGCTCTCTAATTAGCAATTGCTCTTCAATTGCCTTGGTACCTTCCTACCTCAGACACTCCAACACCTTGTGATAAAAACACACAAACAGAAAAGGCAAATTAAAACACTAGGATTGACATATATACACTCCCATGGGTAAAAAAGATAGTAGTGGGAACATGCTATGAAGCACAGGAAGCTCAGCTCGGTTCTCTGTGACAACCTACATGGGTGGGATGGGGGGGAGGGGTGGGAGGGAGGTCCAAGAGGGAAGGGATATAGGTATACATATAGCTGACTCACTTCATTGTACAGCAGAAACTAACACAACATTGTAAAGCAATTATACTCCAAAAAAAAAAAAAAAAAAGAACCACTAATGTAGAAAACAAAAAGACATGAGATTTAGGCCGATGAGCATGTCACACTATCCTCTTTCTCCCTGTGGCTTCAAAGCACTTTTCCATATGTTAATCTGCTTTCTTCATCCCAGAATTTTGAGACTTTAATTCCCAGCTATATATTTATTATGGCAAAATTTCAGGTCAGCAGAACAATCTGGGCTTCTCATACAACGCACTCTGGTGCATTATCAATAAGCTCTTTTGGTGAAAGATATGACATAAAGATAGTGAATTATAAGATATTTACAAAACTCAAAATGGAAGTTCAAGGTTAAAATCTGCTGGAATATTTTGTGAGCCCACATGAGCTGTGGATCTGTAATTTTGAATACTGAATATCCTTTCCAATGCTCCAATGCTCTGTAGCCATCTGTGTAAACCACCGATTTGGTCCAGCTTCTCCAAAATATGTTTTCCTCTTATTTAATTTCACTCATTTTTCATATCAGTCCTGATACTCTATCTCCTATAGGCAACAAACCCTAACTTGTCTTCGTGAAAATTAGAAGTACAAAACTGAGTCCAAAAGAGTGCAATTGATTCCAGAAGAGTGTAGCATATTCTCGGCTGACAGGAAACACATGGGTTATAAATGTGTGCTCATTTGAACACTCAAGAAAAACGAAAGCCTTCTTTTAGAAAAAGAGAAAAAAGAAAGCAAGAAAGCGAGCAAGAAAGGAAATTCCTAACCTAGAACCTTGGGTTCTTTTTTAAATGCATGGCAAGATAGTTAGGCAAAGTCATTTACCGCTTAGTATTTCTGAGAGGTGAAGGTTTCACTTCAATAAGATTGTCCAAAGCTTGGCTGTTCAAAAGAGAAAAAGAGAAAAAAATAAACTCCAATTAGTGATAGGTTGTTTTGTTTGTGCTAGGTCTATAAAGCAATATAATAAATCTACTCCACTCAGGGGCAACAGACATGAGAATGTGAAATGACTGTTTTTATTTGATTACCTTTGATTGCTTCTGATTACTTCAGGATTCACTTTGATGAGGTTATTGAGATCCCGGTTTCTTTAAAAAGAAAAATAAAAAGTAAGCAGGTTAATTATAAATAAATTCTTTTGGTAAGATCATTAAGGTTATAAATGTGCTTGAAATAATTGTAAAACAAAACATTCTTCCTACCCAAAGCACAAAAATTAATACAGTTCTATTACCTTTGGTTGTTGGAGAGAGTTTCAGGATTCACTTTGATGAGCTTATCAAGATCTTGATTTCTTCAAATGGAAAAAAAATTAAAGCAGCTTGTGTTAGAGATAATACAGGTTTAAGGTGGCTGGAATTGGAAGAAGGGATTAGCTAGTTTATCATTTAGTATAAGACATATTGGTTTGGCATAGAACCCCCTTGAAATAAATTTTCAAACCAATCTAGGGAGGACTAATTATGTTGGATCAGGAGAAGAATTACTCTGACTTCACACACTTATTGTCAGAGCCCATCTACAAGGGCACGCTAACTCAGAGTTCACAGCAAACATCTCATGATTGACCACTTTTACTCTGGAATGTTTTAACAGTATGACGATACAAACTGATTCTAAGGTCCTTGATATTTTAAAAATCATATTCACCAGCTAAATATACCATTTTTTTAAAAAATAAGAAACTCCCAAACTAGGATTATACTTAACATAAGTCTTGGCAAACAGAGTTCCAGTAATCCATCAAAATTGTGACTTTTCTTTCCTCTACCATGACTTAAAAAGCTGAAATCATGGTAAATTAGGGACATACTCTGATAACTGTCCACTTCCTAGTTGAAACCCTATCAGTTTCTTTCCTCAGTCGGAGAACAGTATTTCCTCCCACCTGGTTTGCTATCACTCATTGCCTCTGTATAATACTTTGCTTCTAAGGGCTGGAAAGTAGTGATTTTTCAACGTGTTCCTCTAAACCGCTTTATAATATTTATTCACAGAAGAGCCCACAATAGCAAGAAATCTTGGGATTGATAACACCTGCTTTCAGTAAATTTTGGCAGCTACCTGCCTGTACCTCCTTCCCCCCAAAAGTCCTTTTCCCTTATATAAAAATAAAGTATGGTTTACTCTTCAAAAAGACTGATGCAAGGTTAGGAACTGAAGGAGAGCCACTTAGAGGTTAGTCATCAAAGTCTGAGAAAAAGGTCTGCATTTCCTTCCACAACCCCTAAGCCTTTCCATAGAATTTGCTTCCCAGCTCATGGCTTCACTGAGTTTGATCTCTTCATCCTTGTTCTCAGATCTCCACGGTAGACAGAAAGCCCCTAAATGAATGTTTACTGTTTTGAATTATCTTCAATAGTAATATTATCAATTAAAGATAATCAACTGGTATCTACAAACACTATCAAAGAAATGATAAACATGACAACTATCCAAAATAAAATTTTCTTGTATAAATTGATTACAAAAACCTGTTATAAAGTTAAATTGTGCCTGAAAGACGATCTTTAAAATGAGGATAATTTCATACATTAAAAGAAAAAAAGTATAAAAAATAAAACTTTGTAGAGGAAATAATATGTCAAAGGCCACAACCTTTTAATACATAAAATCAATCACAATATTTTAGTGTAACTACATATAATATTCACCAACCAGCATAATTAGGAGTAAGCTGCATAAAAAAATGCAAACACAAACATGAGAACTCCCGTTTTTACTGTTCTGCTCAATACAGAAAACTTGGTTCATTCCAAATCTTAGAACTGTGCTATTCAAACTACTACATCATAGAGCTCATTAAAAAATACAATTTACATCACAGCCCAATACTTTGTTTTCAGTCAGACAGACAGACACACACACATAATAAAACATAAATTTCACAAAATAAGACACCCACTACGTAAGAACTCTCATGTTTTCTGCTCTACTTCACTCTAGCTAACTGGGAAAAAATGCTGACTGCCGCTCACTAAATTAATTACAAGACCATTTAATGGGATGTGACCCACAATTTGAGAAACACTAGCTTAGAAAACATATATATAAACGCGTGCTATGTTTTACCACTTCTCTTAAAAAGACGACACCTTGTGTCAATAAAGCAAGGATCTCAGTAATAGTCCTGAATTGCCTTGACTGATAGCATCATGCAACTTAATGAATTGAAAACTTATAGACGCTTTTTTCAGGCCCTGGATCCTACAAACACAGGAATCTTATATCTAAATTTTATCCAGGAAAAATGTAACATTTTTCCTACTCAAGTTACTGCTTTCATTTATTTTGCTTTAAGGATATAGGGATACATTGAAATATTTAGCTATTATTATTTTCACGTAGTTCAAAAGTTGTAAAGTGTTTTGCGGTCATTGGCACAAATTTGTGTCATTGTCACTTCAAAGACTGTGAAGTAATATTTCAAGTGACCCTGTGAAAGTAGTAGAGAACATCTCCAGGCTGTCCCATGGCAGGAGCAAAAGTTCTAGCTTTATAGTTTCCACTGTTTCCTGAGGTACTGAATCAACTTTCACCTATTTTAAGATCAAAGTCTCCATGCTGTGATTTAAAGACCAGGAGTTGGGCTGGGAGTTGGAAGAACTCACAGAAGATTATGAGACTTTTGCCCCGAATACTTCAGTGTTCTCATTTGTAAAATTGGGAGATTGGATTTGTTCATCTCTAAGCCTCTGCCCATCTCTAACATCTTCTACCCCTAGGAATCTATGAATGTGAATTTTACTGCCTGTCGTGTTTATTAGCTATTTCATGTCTCCTTTTCTTTTTAAATGCAACTCATTGACAATACATTCTATATTCAGCAAGAAGTACATAAGCGTCCCAAAATGTAATATATTAAATTGACAACCTATTATTGTCTTGGAGTCCCATCTCTTTGCCCCCAGTACATAATTAGCTTTAAACTATGATAATTGCTTGCTATTAATAAGATTGAGTATGTCTACTGAATTCTCTTTTTGGCATCCACGGCCTATAATTATACCTAATGTGCACCTAATGATACCTAGCTGTAAGCTTCAAACCCAGTAGGTGCTCAGTAATTATTCACCGCCTAACAGATCACAGAACTACTATTCGTCTTCCACTAGTTTTCTCTGTGACACTGGCCACATCACTTAACCTTTCTGAGTCTTAATTTCCTCTTCTGTAAATAGAATAGGTTTGACTGGAACAGTGGTTTGCAAGTGTTCATAGTAACTGGGCTACGAGTTTTCTGAGGTCCCTTCCTTCCATCTCCAAAATTTTGCAATTTTTTTACATACCAGTTAAACTCAAAAAAGTGAAATCATAAAAACAGTCTTAAATATATATATAAATATATACGTACATACATATAATAGTAGTGCATAATGATATAAAAATCTTCATATAACCAGAGACAAAAAGTGAATTTCATTTTCATCATTATAGATACTACTTAAAGAATTATCAAATTTTAGATCCATTACTTTGCTGCAAGCAGCAAACCATCTAAGAAATAATGAACCTCATAAAATTTCCACCGACTACTAGAAAACACCCTCTGAAAACGAGGTGAATGGTATTGCTTACAACTAATGAGGTGTCCAGCTCTTTTCAAAAAATTAACTATCATTAATAAATTTAACCAGATCCAGAGACAAAGGTATTAACATCAATACTACAAAACATAAACAGGGCATAGACTAGCTATGTTTCTACCCCAATCACTCCCTTCAATTGCTTTACTTGAGCTGCCTTTCTTTTTATTAGCAAATAGATATCTAAGTTTTCAGGGACATATAAAAATTGTGATGACTTTTCAAGATTTATATTCAGTTTGCCCATAGAATGATTACAAGTCATTTATATTCAAATTGTACTTAGTTAGGGAGAAACAAAGCAAAGTAAATAAATCACATCCTTCTCTTACCCGGCTGTGTTTTTGACAGCTTTGGGGCTTACGTTAATAAGTTCATCAAGATCTTGTTCACTGCTAAAACAAAATAAAATAAAAGGTCAAATTCAGTTGGAAATCAGAAAAAATGGCTGGCATTGTTTCTTCTGATGCTTGTGAATCATTCCATGGGATCCTAGACAAAAAGTGATAAATTTACCGAGTTTCTACTTTATATATATTAGTTATCTTTTTTAAATCCTCAAAACAACTGAGTTAAATATTACCATTCTCTCTTTATAAATAAATTGAGTTTCATAGAAATTAAGACCCTCTTTGGGCCAGATACCTAAGAAATGACTGAGGGTGAACTAGGATTGAAACCATAGCTGGACCCCAAACCACATGCTCCCTTCTGCTAACATCCTTCCTCTCTCTATTCACAATAATTCCTTACATCTGCACAATGCTTTTCACCATTATCATCATAATAATCTTGAGAGGTAGCTTGGAGTTACTCTGTCACGTTTTTCTTAACTTTTGCTCCAGTGAATGATGGGTCTTAACTTTTCAAGAAGACAGGAGTATAATCAAAATCATGTAGAAATATTCTAATCAAGTATTAGAATGTTATGTCACCAATTTTCTGAAGAGTCATTTAATTTTTATTAATCCTTGGGTTTGTGAAAGAGAAGAAAGCCAATATTCTTTGGTTTATTCAGTTTTATGAACTTATAGTTTATTTACTATAAACTTGCAGTAATAACCTACTTACGCTACTGTTGTGTCCAGTGAATTTCTCAAATAGTCATTAAACAGAATTTGCTTCAGTATTACAATTTGAACAATATTATAATAAATTGAAGCAACACAATAAAAGAAAAAATCTATCTACCATTATTACACACAACAAATCAATTTGTTCTCATTTTTTTCATGTCCCCTTTCAAATGTCCTTAGACAAATAATCTTATTCTGGGGCATAAATTGAAGACTTGCTCACGAGTCTTCAATAATCTTAATAAGCTTACCTTTTATTTGCTGAGGGAGTCACTTTGATAAGATGGTTCAGATCCTGGTTCCTAAAAAATGTTGTAAATTTCAATAAGGGGGTAAAATCAAGTCAAATCAATTACAATTTGTACATTTTTTTCAATCTTAATATTGAATCAAGTGATTGTTGTTAATTCAAAACTTCATCTTGAGTTCTTTTTTTAGCCCTCTGTAAAAGCAGGTGGCTACTATCAATTCATTTCTTACACAACTACATATATATGAAAATTTAATTTAGTTTTATTCTTATTTCTTTTAAGACAACCTCAAATTTAAATTGCTCGTAAACTCCTTGTTTTCCAAGAATATTTTTGAAGATTGTAATGAACAAGAGAAAAATTTAAGCTGTTGGTCATTTGCACGTGTTCCTTGCTTCCCTCCCCTCGAAACAAAACAAAACAAAAACCTGGGATTTTTTAAAAAAGAGGCTATTTCCTGATTCTAAGGTATGGAGGTAATATACATAATATTAATATGTAACATTCAGGCTACTCCAAGATATTAATCAGTTCAGAATCATGCTTCATGCAATGCTAAGTCAGAACAGGGAAGACTTCAGATTATATAACTTGCTTTTATTCTAAACAAATAGGCAATAATAGCTCTAAAGAGACATTTCTGTTATCGTACTGGGCCTTCATACCAACTCTAACACCAGAAGGCCTGAACAAGATGCCTAATTTGATATACCTTATTATTGGACAATTTGTTATACATCCTGAAAAGAAAAAAGACTAGAAAGGCTTATATCCCTGAACTAATCTTTAGGATTAACCTATAAACTAATTTTATCATGTACAAATCCTTCCATGTAAATTATTGCATTCTATTATATTGAACTATATGAAATTGTCCTCTTGTGGATCAAAAATTATTGAATGTCACAATTTCATAAAATCCAACCTAACAGATAATTTCTTTGGTATCTTCTTTGAACTAAGCATTGAGTGGTGCAATGAGGATCCAACAATGAAGAAAAACAGTAACAGTAATAATAATACCAATAGATAATATCTAATAAGTATTTGAGGAATAAGTGCTTCTTAAGCTTGCTAGCATATAATTTTTCTGGTAATTCATGAAGAAGGTAATTCTTACAATCCCCACTTTACAGATAAAGAAGCTGAGGCTTAAAGGAGTTTAAACGATGTGTCCAAGATTATACAGCTAATAAGTATTCTCTGAACTCAAAAATTTCACTACCAAGTAGAAGAGATGGACACATGACCTAATGCAATACATGGCAGAGGGTGGGGACTGAAACGAGGCTCACACACTGCACAGGAAAGGTCACATCATTAAGGCCATCTTCACTTTACATACTAAGTCATCTTGGAAGAGGGACAAGGGATAGCTGTCTTTCATTGACTCTTTTATCTGTAACATGAAGTATTACATGGTCTCTGGATTCAGTACCTGACCCTCAGACAGTGGCAATGCGTTATGTTCTTATTTAGTGAACAAAATCTAAGGACAATTTAGCACTAAATAATCAGATAAAAGAATGATAAAATCTTTGGTCCAACCATAAAGTGAATAAAACAAGATATGCAAGGGAGGCTTTGTTTCAGAAGCTGTTCCAAGTACATTCAGAGTTGATCCTCTTCACTCACCCACATGAAATACTGTTTAGTCCAGGAGTCAGCAAACTATGGTCCTCAGGCTAAATTCAGCCTGTAGTCTTGTTATATAAGTAAAGTTTTATTGGAACACAGCCATGCCCATTCCTTTACAATGTATTATCAATGGTTGCTAGTTGACTAGTTAAAATAGAGACTGTTTTGGTCCCCCAAACCTGAAATATTTACTACCTAGCTCTTTAAGCAAAAGTTTCTGACTCCTGATCTAGTCTAATAAATTTTATATGATATCTACCTACTGTAAAAATAGAATTCCTATACACCAAGTAAGATAGAATATCTGTCAGAAAGGAAATATATACCTTGGTATCTTTTATATTTAACTCGCATTCAAACTAGCATAACAATATATATTTATAGATTCGTGATTTTTTTTACATCTGTTTACTCAACATGATGTACCTTAAAGAAAATTCTCTCTATAAAAGACAAATGTCATTCTTTGTATTCTTTATTATTTCAATAAACTAAGTATAATTTTAAAAAATAACCTCCCAACTTTAGGAATTGTTTGAGTGTAAACATAAGAGAAGAGGCAAAAAATGATGAAGGATAAGGGAAGGAGAATTTTCTTCACATGAAGACCTTCTCTTAGGCTGCTTATGTCTAAGAAATTGTATGGGGAAGATATTTCATCCCAGGAGGAAACTCGATTCATTTTGAGGAAATCCCAAACATGGAACACAAATCCCAGACTGATAAGAGATTATTCCCATATTTTAAGGAATTCCTCCATAAATATCCACAACCAGGGAGCCCTGAATAAGGATTTGAAGACTAGGTTTCTGACATAGAGGTATTGATTTTGGGTCCCATTATTGGCTGTCTCTGTGATGGGACAATGAGTTTTATCATATTTTCGAGGTTGAATAGAAGAAAATGGAGAAAGAATTTCCATAAACCTTACCCTTGGTTAGTTCTGTTTATTTCTGGAGCCACTTTGATGAGATTGTCAAGACTTTGGCCCCTTTAAAACATGGAAGAAATGATCAGAGAAATGGTCAACTTACATCAAGTGGTTTCAAATATTTATTAAAATGGAGAAACATTTTTATTATAGAAATATTTTACTATAAAATATTTATTAAAATAGAGATCATCTCAAGGGGTTGGAGTTTTTCAGTGTTGACTCTGAAAATATATATTTGGACCTAACTATAACTGCATAGAAATAATAAACAATAATTAATGGTTTCAGAAAATTCATGATGTGCCAGGCACTGTTCTAAGTGATTTACGTGATTTATATGATTTAATCCTCACATCAGTCCAATGAAATAGTGTTAAAAAATTAATAAGCAGGGCTTCCCTGGTGGCGCAGTGGTTGAGAGTCCGCCTGCTGATGCAGGGGACACGGGTTCGTGCCCCGGTCCGGGAGGATCCCACATGCCACGGAGTGGCTGGGCCCGTGAGCCGTGGCCGCTGAGCCTGCGCGTCCGGAGCCTGTGCTCCGCAACGCGAGAGGCCACAACAGTGAGAGGCCCGCGTACCGCAAAACAAACAAACAAAACCCAAAAAAGGTCATGGGGGTTCCATGGTTTTTCTTGAACTACCATTGATACATTGATACTATAGCAGTGTCAGTCTGCTGAAATGATGATTTAATAACGTTTTTAAGCATTGGTTAATGTGAAACAAAAAAAGAGGTGTGTATTCAATCTTGCCCTTGCACACTTTTTCCTGTTCTTGGGTTCACTTTGACGAGGTTACTGAGGTCTTTGGAACTTTAAACAAAAAAGCAAACAAAAACATAATAAGTAAAAATGGAATTAAGTCAACTAAGTACTTTGAAGGATATATGTGCTCAAGATGAATTTTGCTATTAGGTTTTGAGAGAAATCAATGCCAGTCTATGCCCTTCATTTAAAAGAGTAAACATTTTTGGGCTTCCCTGGTGGCGCAGTGGTTGAGAGTCCGCCTGCCGATGCAGGGGACACGGGTTCGTGCCCCGGTCCGGGAGGATCCCACATACCGTGGAGCGGCTGGGCCCGTGAGCCATGGCCGCTGAGCCTGCGCTCCGCAACGGGAGAGGCCACAACAGTGAGAGGCCCGCGTACCGCAAAAAAAAAAAAAAAAAAAAAAGAGTAAAAATTTTGACCTCCATACAAATCATTGGTATACTAGCTCAGTTTCCCATTTACAGTCAAAATAAAACCATAAAATTAGGGCAAGATTGAGTTAAAAAGATCAATTCTGGAACTATTTGCCAAAAACTCTCACCTGGCCAGTGCCTTTCAGTATTCTACATAATCCTATAGCTATAATTAAACTATATTTTGTTAATAATTTCCATTTGTAGTGCCTTTTTGCTTTAAAGTGATTTATATCCATTATTGCACTTGATCCTTAATAATCAAATGACAAAGGTGGAACAGACATTATGATCCTCATTTTATAACTAAAGAAGCCTCAGCTCAGTGTTCGAGGGACTTGCTCCAAGGCACCCAGCCAGAAAGTAATGGAGCTCAGACTTTCTGACTCCACAGATTTTTCAGCATAGCTTCTCTAATGAGAGCCACAAATTGATGCAGAATTTGATGCACAAATTGATGGGAAGGAAGAAAGATATGATATAATCCTCACCCTGGGTTACTTCTGTTTACTTCAGGGGTCACTTTGATGAGATTGTCAAGGGTCTGGCCCCTTTAAAGCATAGAAAACGTGATGAGGTTAATGATAGACTAGAACCAAGATGATAAAACTATTCATTAAAACTCAGGAACAGTATAAACACTCACTGAGATCATGCCAAAGAGCTGAAGATTGTTAAAGGTACGCAGAAATATGTAGGGATTTATATATCTCTGAAACACATTGAGACTCAGTGAGACAATATTTTAATCTTGGAGCCATTAGGGCCACTAGCAAATACTGAACCAGGACTCTATTTTGATTCATTGAATGCTATGCTCTTAGCCTTTTCCAGGTGCACTAAACATATTTTGTAATAGTCTGTATACACATTTCATGGAACATTCCACAAGACACAACTCTACCTATCAACTTCCAACATGCTGTGGAACTTCTGAACTTTGGAGAAGTTTTGTAAAATTGACATTCATTAGCAGATTTTCTATTTAAACACTGGATTTAGATAAGTATACCAATTTGTTAAAGTCCATGATATACAAATCTGGTATCTGCTGCTGGTACTTATAACTGTGTGTTAAAACTACAAATTTTGACTGGTTGTGTTGGCAACAAATAATAGTAAGATTAAAATCTATAAAGTTCTGAAATGTAAGCTATATTTACTATAATATAAAACTCCATGTAGTCAGTGAAAACACATCAGTAATTTATGATTACCCTTTAGTATATCTGCTTCTGATTTTAATGGAATTTTGCTTTTCCTATTGCTTCTACATGTGTTTTCCACATTCACAGTGCCAGCCAAAGTGCCTCTGATCTACAGAGGATACCACATGGGTAAAGAACGTCCACAGAAGGCACTTTTACACTCTGGATCCCCATGCCCTGTGGCCCTGCTAAGATTGATCATGAAATCTCTGAGGTTGCGTCAGTGCAACATCAAAGGTATAGATATTTGGAAGCAGCTAGACGTTGACTCAAGTTTTTACTTGTATGCAGATGTCTGAGAATGTGTACATCCCTGCTAAAAGCAGCAATAAAAAATTTGATCCTTTTTCATGCAAATAATGAAATTATTAACCCTGAAAGAGACAACCATTCTACACCAATACCCTTTGCTGATTTTTTTAACCCCTTGTTGCCTGAATGAAATATGTGGAATTTGAATGCTAGTGACTGAGAAAAAAAATTCCCAGGATTCTGCTTCTAGATTTGAGTACTCAAAAAGAAACTCCATAACATTAAGCACTGCAACTCCTCCCTTGTAATATTTGTGTTGGTTGTGTTGTCAAGACCTTGATCTCTTTAAATATATTAAATAGGGCACATATCAGTATAAGGTTTCCTAAATTTTAAAGTTCATATAGTCAATAAAGAAGAGTGTGCTATTTAATGTAGTAATGTAAAATAATATTTTGAGCTCAACTGTGGGAAGCAATGCCTCATAGTGTATATGTCTTCAATATTTATGCATTCTTTCAATCCACAAATAGTTATGGAAAGCCTACTATGGGCCCCAAGTTATGGGATAGCTGTGAACAATACAGATGGGCTTAGCCCTCAAGAAGCTTCCATTCTAACTTGACGAGTGGCAGGCAATATGCAATCAAATGTGTAAATGAATGCCACATTTCCAGATAACAATATATGCTATGAAGAAAGTAAAAAAGAGTGCCTGGTGCCTGCAATGCTGGGGTTGAAGGATGGGGTGGTGACTTAATTATATTCAATGGTCAGAAACGATCTCTTTGAGAAGGTGACAATATGGGAATAGAGCTTCCCAAAGTGGGAATAGCATACACAGAAGTGTTAAGGCAGAAGTGAGCCTGGAATAGAAAAAAGATCAGTTTGGCTGGACTTTACTGAACATGTGAAAGGCCATCACTAAAGTTTAGAACTTTATTCTACCTGAAATAAAAGAACATTGAAAGTTTTTTATAAGGGAGGGAGACGATCTTATTTTACTTTTAGGAGATCTACAGAATTTAATTATGCTTGGTAAAGGAAAAAAAAAAAAGATGACTACTGTCCCTAAAAGGTCCCAGGAAGCATACACAACCATGAACATAGGTACTCATATACACACAAAAGCACACGTATATACTCACACATATATTTAGGCACACACAAGCATGTGTACACGTGTACACAATCAAACACACATTTTCACTTGTTTGCAGACACACACCCGTATGCACTCACACATGTAGGCATACACACATGAATGCACACACAAGCATACACACACAAATGCACACATTTGCATGTGTGTATACACATGTGTACACATAGGCACACACACTCACACCCCAACCTATGAAAAACAATAGGTGATGATTTGAAATACCCTTTTTAATAAAAATTAGAAAGGAAGAACATGAATTTTTCTTGGAGAGTCAAAGTAAGTTAAATATTTGAACAGAATCTAAATTATTAAGAAAACACAATTCATGTGAATCTTTATCATTGCTAAAACTATTTGTATCTACTATGTGCCAGGCATGACAGTATTATGATCCCTATTTTGTAGGTGAGTAAACTGAAGCATGGGGACACAGTTAGCAAGTGACAGAGCCAGAATTTGAACCCGGGTCTTTTAGACTCCCTGCTCCCAACCTCAAGTTACCTCCCTGAAATACCCAGGTAACCAAGGAAGTCAGTGCTCTCTTCTCAGTCTGTCGGTTGCAAAACTGTACACGTCTGCAACTCATAGGGTCACTGGGCCTGCAACCACACTGCTGCTGAGAACAGGACGGCCTGACAGCACACACCAGCTTTCAGCCAGCCAGGCTCTGCTGACAGGGCCTGCAGGCATCAGTGACACATTTTAGAACCAATGCATAATAACACGTACTTGAGTGAATGGAATGGAAAGGAATTCAAAAGAAACCACATGGAATTATTTGGTATACTTTTCAGCAACACGTCAACAAGCTCAGTTTCAGATATGTTCCATCTGTTTTTTAAAAAGTAAAAAAAGAAGCAAGAGGACATAAGCTTTCCAGATTTACTTGACAATTCATGGGTAGGGTGATTCGTTTACAAGGTACACTTTGTTAAGCTCTTCATCTTTAAACATACACTGCACTATATACACATACCCACACTACACACAAACACAGTACACATGTACACACACAGTTTGTACATAAACACATCCACACACACTACTTACACTCCCACAGACATAGACTTGTTTATATATGCTATTTATGCAAACATACACATACACATACACACACACTACTTATACATACACACATATGTTTATATATATATATATATATATATATATATGCATTGTGATGGTTAATTTCATGTGTCAGTTTGACTGGGCCACAGAGTGCCCAGATATTTGGTCAAATATTATTCCAGGTGTGTCTGTGAGTGTTTTGGGATGAGATTAACATGTGAATCTGTAGACTGAGTAAAGCAGATGGCCGTCCCTAACATGGGTGGGCCATAGCCAAGCAGCTGAAAGACTGAATAGAACCAAATGCTGAGTTAAGAAGAGACTTTGCCTGCCTGACTGCTTGACCTAAGACCTTGTTCTCTTGCCCTTGGACTGGAACTTAACCATGGGCTCTCTTGGTCCTCAGGCCTTCAAACTTGAACTGGAACTACTATTGTCTCTCTTGGGCCTCCAGCTTGCCAACGATGGGTCTTGAGACTTCTCAGCCTCCAGAAGGGCATGTGCCAATTCCTTATAATAAATCTCTCTTTCTCTCTCTCTCTCTCTCTATTCTATTGTTCTGTTTCTCTGGAGAACCCTGATTAATACACACACATACACTTATACCAACACACTTATACATATACACTAATATATACACACATTTCTACGTAACACACTATTTACACATACACATACAGACTCACACACACACACACACACACATACACTTACACACAAAGAAATAAATAGTAGAGGAGGGTAGTCAAATTCTCATTTAATTTCTCAAAATCTACATTATAGCAAATGTCACCTGAGAATAAAACGCAAGAGGTCACTTCTGTGTATCACTCATATAGAATTGCTTAATATGACATATGTGGAAAAAAAGAGTTCAGTTCGGTTTGAATTTCAATTTGCTCTCCTGAATGCAAGCACTCAGAATTCCAATGTGTTTATAAATGCCAAAGGAGAAATAAAAAGCTTTAAATTACTTACCCCTTGATGTTTTTATTTGTTTCAGGATTCTCTTTAATAAGCCCATTGAGGTCTTCTTTCCTTTGAATAAGGAAATGAGTTTTAATGAATGTCATTAAAATAAAACACTGATCAAGTGAACAATGACTGACAAAATTAAGAAGTGGTAAGTATACACATTCTCTATCAATGTAATTTTTAAAGCTCTAAATGCAAATGAAAATTCTTCTCTTACTTCTTGAGCTGAAGACCATTTAAGTTTCCTAATTTACCAACAAGAAACATATGATGTTTTTGTTTCATTCTCAAAATGCATAAGTATACGTGAAACTTGTTATTTAACAAAATCAGCTTTGCCCTCAGATGCATCTTGTTAGAACACCCCAGATGGGTGGCACTGAAGTAATGTTGAGTTAGATAAAGTTCTATACTGGATCCAGATAGAATGTAAATTTCCATCTAACAAATCAGATATAATTGCCTATTCTGTTTTTAAATAATAAGAATAATGTAAAAGATGATAATAGTTTAACAATATGAAAAATAATTTAAAAAATATATGTTTTCATAGAAACGCAACCATTCCCCCTTTTAAAATATAATTAGATTATGGTGAATTATAAGAGCAAGAAAAAATACCTTACATGGTAGGAAAATTAATGACACTTCTTGGGGAGACACATGTCACCTCCATTAAAATGAACTGAGTAATACCAAAAGGGGCATAGCCCGAACCCAAAGGGGGCAGTGGAGGATGGCAGAGGTATCGTGATTGAGTACTGCTGCTTTGTCAACATAGCCCTGAAGAAGAGAAGTGGTGGGATGTTCTTCCTCCCAGTGTGTGTATCTGCCCAGCCCCTCCCCTGGGCCGCCTTCTGAGACCACCATGCTCAAAGAAGTTGATTTTCAGTAGTTTTAGTCAACACTCACTCTTGGCTATCTTTGTCATTTTGGAGATCCACTTTTAAAATATTGTCAACATTGTGCTTTCTTTAGATCCAAAGAAATTCAATTCAGTAACTCACCCCTAAAACCAAATCAAAATCTGGGAGAAAAGGCTACTTACTATTAAACATTGGAGCAATTCTTCAAAAATAAGCAATTTTATTGGGAGCAAGGAGGAAAGGTCATGTGGCCTATCATTATTATCCAATTCCATGCCAGTAAAACACATTTCTAAAGTTAAAATGCCAAATCATTTTATCTTATTATCACTTGCAGAAATCAGATTTAAAGATACTAATCAGTCTTACCCAGTGGTGTTTTCACTTTCTTTGGGATTCACTTTGATAACATTATCACGGTCTTCACCTCTTAAAAAAATATTAGATCAGTTTCAAAGTATTCCCACAGTATTTTTTTATATACACATTCCATATTATTGATGATTAATTCAAGCTTTTGGAGAAGATTATTATACTGGTATTAAATTCATTTTCGTTACAAAAGTTACCTATCAATAATATAGTTAAGTTAATCTCTAGGATTCTATTGGGCTCTAGGTAAAGTTAAATTTAGATAGACTCTCCAAAGTAAAGCTCAGGGCAGTAGAGCTCAGACACAGAAGAGAGAAGCCAAACTCAAAGATGTGACCCCCTTCAGTATACTGAGAAGATCACATAATTAACCCAGTAGAAAATAAGCAAGATTTAGAAACATCAAAGCAGTTCTCACCCTCTGCTAGTCTGATCTGTCCTAGCATTTGCTTTGATAACTGTTTTGAGATCTTGGATTCTTTGGAAAAAACATGGAGACCTTAGGTCAATTAACTTGCATTCAATTTTTTCTGAAAACCATATAAATAAGAATGTCCCTGAAAGGATGTCAGATGTTTCCAGGGCCAACTGACCAGAGAAACTTCAATATAATTATCCCTTAGCTTGTCTATTTTAATTTCCACAGTAGTACTTGGTTTAAATCAGTTTATAAAATCTTCGCCAACACACCTCTCACTTTGCAATTTTGTCCTTTCTATTTCTTAATTTAAATAGAAAATTTGTCTCATTTTTAAATTATTTAAGAAAATATAGAATAAGAGATTATGCAGTAAGTTTTCCTGCACTTACTTCAGTGCAACTCAAGCATGTGGTCTTACGGAAACAGGATTCATCATATGCTTTGACTACTATCTCTGATAGGCCCCAAAGTGCAACAGTTCAACCGTGACAGAGTAAAGTATAACACTCCCGTTTCCAACAAGGTGTAAAAATCTAACATGAAAAAGAGCCCCATTATGTTAGGCGCTTTACTTACCCTTTCTTGTTTTTGTCAGTCCTTTGATTAACTTTAATAAGACCTTAACTTTAATAAGGCCTTGGTTTCTTTATAACATTTGAGGGGGCAGGGAGAGCACAGCAACGGAGAGAGAAAGAGAGATTCAACAGATTTTTCACAACAGCAGTAAGACATTATCAGTACCTGAAACATCAGAAGTCTTTAGAAATATTTAATTCAAGTGGCTCTTCTCATGCCAAATGCTGATATGCTAACTATCCTACAGTGAGGACCCAACCATTACTCGGTTATGATTAAATCAATTTAAACGTAGACATTCCCCCCCACATCTCAGCTTTTGCTTTCTTTGTCCTTTGAGGGTGGGTTGGTGAGAAACTAACTTTAATACATGTGTTGAGATATTGTCTTCCTTAAACATGAAAATCATTCACATCAAGGGTGGAAATCAGATGATCAACATTTTAAATCTAAACATTCTGAAGATTTAGACAAGTCATTTTAAATAAAAAGTAACCTGGGAAAGGTAGAAATAACTCTTTGATGACACCAGTACTTTATGTGACTTGACCACAACCAATAAAACTTTCACACGCCAATAGCTTAAAACAATTAGGGAATATGAAAGCTAATCTCTCTAAATCCCCCGGTTCAATGCCATTTTCATCTGTCTCTGTCTTTCACTGTGATAAGACTGCTGACATTTGAGGTTCTTTCTGCGTAAGGAAGAAGGAAGGGAGGCAGGCAGGGAAGAAGGAAAAGAAACTGTGGGCTCTCCCTACCACACCAAACAGACTCATCTTTTCTGCATCAAAGCCCAGCTGCTATCAAGTTATACCAGCTTACAAACCCCTTCTCTTTTCTCCTCCTTCCTAGCCCACACGATTGACTTGTGTTGTTCATCCCACTTTTCCTAATTTCCACCACTTGTATGGAACTTTCCAAACTTCAGTTATTTATTTATCTTTTAATTAATTAATTAATATTATTTTTAACATCTTTATTGGAGTATAACAGCTTTACAATGGTGTGTTAGTTTCTGCTTTATAACAAAGTGAATCCTGTACATATACATATTTCCCCATATCTCCTCCCTCTTGCGTCTCCCTCCCACCCTCCCTATCCCACCCCTCTAGGTGGTCACAAAGCACAGAGCTAATCTCCCTGTACTATGCATCTGCTTCCCACTAGCTATCTATTTTACATTTGTTAGTATATATAAATCCATGCCACTCTCTCACTTCATCCCACCTTACCCTTCCCCATCCCCGTGTCCTCAAGTCCATTCTCTACGTCTGCGTTTATATTCCTGTCCTGTCCCTAGGTTCTTCACAATCATTTTTTTGTTTTCTTTTTAGATTCCATTTATATGTGTTAGCATACGATATTTATTTTTCTCTTTCTGACTTACTTCACTCTGTATGACAGACTCTAGGTCCATCCACCTCATTACAAATAACTCAATTTCATTTCTTTTTATGGCCGAGTAATGTCCCATTGTATATATATGCCACATCTTCTTTATCCATTCATCTGTCAATGAACACTTAGGTTATTTCCATGTCCTGGCTATTGTAAATAGAGCTGCAATTAATATTGTAGTACATGTCTCTTTTTCAATTATGGTTTTCTCAAGATATATGTCCAGTAGTGGGATTGCTGGGTCGTATGGTAGTTCTATTTTTAATTTTTTAAGGAACCTCCATACTGTTCTCCATAATGGCTGTATCAATTTACATTCTCACCAACAGTGCAAGAGGGCTCCCTTTTCTCCACACCCTCTCCAGCATTTATTGTTTGTAGATTTTGTGATGATGCCCATTCTGACTGGTGTGAGGTGATACCTCATTATAGTTTTGATTTGCATTTCTCTAATGATTAGTGATGCTGAGCATCCTTTCATGAGTTTGTTGGCAATCTGTATATCTTCTTTGGAGAAATGTCTATTTAGGTCTTCTGCCCAATTTTGGATTGGGTGGTTTGTTTTTTAGATACTGAGCTGCATGAGCTACTTGTATATTTTGGAGATTAATCCTTTGTCCGTAGCTTCATTTGCAAATATTTTCTCCCATTCTGAGGGCTGTCTTTTCATCTTGTTTATAGTTTCCTTTGCTTTGCAAAAGCTTTTAAGTTTCATTAAGTCCCATTTGTTTATTTTTGTTTTTATTTCCATTTCTCTAGGAGGTGGGTCAAAAAGGATCTTGCTGTGATTTATGTCATAGAGTGTTCTGCCTATGTTTTCCTCTAAGAGTTTGATAGTGTCTGGCCTTACATTTAGGTCTTTAATCCATTTTGAGTTTATTTTTGTGTATTTTTGTGTATTTTGTTGCATACTCTTGCCTCCTTTATTAAAGATAAGGTGACCATATGTGCGTGGGTTTATCTCTGGGCCTTCTATCCTGTTCCATTGATCTATCTTTCTGTTTTTGTGCCAGTACTATACTGTCTTCATTACTGTAGCTTTGCATTATAGTCTGAAGTCAGGGAGCCTGATTCCTCCAGCTCTGTTTTTCTTTCTCAAGATTGCTTTGGCTATTCGGAGTCTTTTGTGTTTCCATACACATTGTGAAATTTTTTGTTCTAGTTCTGTGAAAACTGCCATTGGTAGTTTGATAGGGATTGCATTGCATCTGTAGATTGCTTTGGGTAGTATAGTCATTTTCACAATGTTGATTCTTCCAATCCAAGAACATGGTATATCTCTCCATCTGTTTGTATCATCTTTAATTTCTTTCATCAGAGTCTTATAGTTTTCTACATACAGGTCTTTGGTCTCCTTAGGTAGGTTTATTCCTAGGTATTTTATTCTTTTGTGTTGCAGTGGTAAATGGGAGTGTTTCCTTAATTTCTCTTTCAGATTTTTCATCATTAGTGTATAGGAATGAAAGAGATTTCTGTGCATTAAATTTGTATCCTGCTACTTTACCAAATTCATTGATTAGCTCTAGTAGTTTTTCTGGCAGCATCTTTACAATTCTCTATCTAAAGTATCATGTCATCTGCAAACAGTGACAGTTTTACTTCTTCTTTCCTGATTTGGATTCCTTTTTATTATTTTTTCTTCTCTGATTGTTATGGCTAAAACTTCCAAAACTATGTTGAATAAGAGTGGTGAGAGTGGGCAACCTTGTCTTATTCCTGATCTTAGTGGAAATGGTTTCATTCTTTTACCATTGAGAACAATGTTGGCTGTGGGTTTGTCATATATGGCCTTCATTATGTTGAGGTAAGTTCCCTCTATGCCTACTTTCTGGAGGGTTTTTATGATAAATGGGTGTTGAATTTTGTCGAAAGCTTTCTCTGCATCTATTGAGATGATCATATGGCTTTTCTCCTTCAATTTGTTAATATGGCACATCACATTTATTGATTTCCGTATGTTGAAGAATTCTTGCATTCCTGGAATAAACCCCACTTGATCATGGTGTATGATCCTTTTAATGTGCTGTTGGATTCTGTTTGCTAGTACTTTGTTGAGGATTTTTGCATCTATGCTCATCAGTGATATTGGCCTGTAGTTTTCTTTTTTTTGTAAAATCATTTTCTGGTCTTGGTATCAGGGTGATGGTGTCCTCGTAGAATGAGTTTGGGAGTGTTCCTCCCTCTGCTATATTTTGGAAGAGTTTGAGAAGGATAGGTGTTAGCTCTTCTGTAAATGTTTGATAGAATTCGCCTGTGAAACCATCTGGTCCTAGGCTTTTTTTTGTTGGAAGAATTTTAATCACAGTCTCAATTTCAGTGCTGTGATTGGTCTGTTTATATTTTCCTGGTTCAGTCTTGGAAGGTTGTGCTTTTCTAAGAATTTGTTGATTTCTTCCAAGTTGTCCATTTTATGGCATATAGTTGCTTGTAGTAATGTCTCATGATCCTTTGTATTTCTGCAGTGTCAGTTGTTACTTTTTCTTTTTCATTTCTAATTCTGTTGATTTGAGTCTTCTCCCTTTTTTTGTTGATGAGTCTGGTTAATGGTTTATCAATTTTGTTTATCTTCTCAAAGAACCAGCTTTTAGTTTTATTGATCTTTGCTATCATTTCCTTAATTTGTTTTTTATTTATTTCTCATCTGATCTTTATGATTTCCTTCCTTCTGCTAACTTTGCGTTTTCTTTTGTTCTTCTTTCTCTAATTGCTTTAGGTGTAAGGTTAGGTTTTTTATTTGAGATGTTTCTTGTTTTTTGAGGTAGGATTGTATTGCTATAAACTTCCCTCATAGAACTGCTTTTGCTGCATACCATAGGTTTTGGGTCATTTTTTTCTCATTGTCATTTGTTTCTAGGTATTTTTGGATTTCCTCTTTGATTTCTTCAGTGATCTCTTGGTTATTAAGTAGTGTATTGTTTAGCCTCCATGTGTTTGCATTTTTTTGCAGTTTTTTTTCCTGTAATTGATATCTAGTCTCATAGCATTGTTGTCAGGAAAGATACTTGATACGATTTCAGTTTTTTAAAATTTACCAAGGCTTGATCTATCCTGGAGAGTGTTCCATGAGCACTTGAGAAGAAAGTGTATTCAGTTGTTTTTGGATGGAATGTCCTATAAATATCAATTAAGTCCGTCTTGTTTAATGCATCATTTAAAGCTTGTGTTTCCTTATTCATTTTCATTTTGGATGATCTGTCCATTGGTGAAAGTAGGGTGTTAAGTCCCCTACTATGATTGTGTTACTGTTGATTTCCCCTTTTATGGTTGTTAGCATTTGCCTTATGTATTGAGGTGCTCCTATGTTGGGTGCATAAATATTTACAATTGTTATATCTTCTTCTTGGATTGATCCCTTGATCATTATGTAGTGTCCTTCTTTGTCTTTTGTAATAGTCTTTATTTTAAAGTCTGTTTTGCCTGCTATAAGAATTGCTACTCCAGCTTTCTTTTGATTTCCATTTGCATGGAGTATCATTTTCATCCCCTCTTTAGTCTGTATGTGTCCCTAGGTCTGAAGTGGGTCTCTTGTAGACAGCATATATATGGGTCTTGTTTTTGTATCCATTCAGCCAGTCTATGTCTTTTGGTTGGAGCATTTAAATCATTTACATTTTAGGTAATTATCAATATGTTCCTATTACCATTTTCATAATTGTTTTGGGTTTGTTATTTTAGGTGTTTTCCTTCTCTTGTGTTTCCTGCCTAGAGAAGTTCCTTTAGTATTTGTTGTAAAGCTGCTTTGGTGGTGTGAATTCTCTTAGCTTTTGTTTGTCTGTGAAGGTTTTAATTTCTCCATTGAATCTGAATGAGATCCTTGATCGGTAGAGTAATCTTGGTTGTAGGTTTTTTCCCTTTCATCACTTTAAATATGTCCTGCCAATCCCTTCTGGCTTGCGGTGTTTCTGCTGAAAGATCAGCTGTTAACCTTATGGGGATTCCCTTGTATGTTATTTGTTGTTTTTCACTTGCTGCTTTTAATATTTTTTCTTCGTATTTAATTTTTAACAGTTTGATTAATATGTGTGTTGGCATGTTCCTCTTTGGATTTATCCTGTATGGGACTCGCTGTGCTTCCTGGATTTGATTGACTATTTCCTTTCCCATAATAGGGAAGTTTTCAACTATAATGTCTTTAAATATTTTCTCAGTCCCTCTCTTCTTTTCTTCTTCTGGGATCCCTATAATTTGAATGTTGGTGCGTTTAATGCTGTCCCAGAGGTCTCTGAGACTGTCCTCAATTCTTTTCATTCTTTTTTCTTTATTCTGCTCTGTGGTAGTTATTTCCACTATTTTATCTTCCAGGTCACTTATCTGTTCCTCTGCCCCAGTTATTCTGCTATTTATTCCTTCTAGAGGATGTTAAATTTCATTTTCCAAAGTTCATTTCTTAAAAAATCTGAAATCTCATCTTTTCGTGTAAAACTCATACAACCACTTAAAGAGAACTGACTGCTTTCCACTTCATCTGTTCCCCATTTGGAAAAAAAAATCACCTGTAATAATGTTTGCACATTCACATTATAGTAATATGTTGGTAATAAGTGTTCAGTGTCTGAATGGAGTTTGTGATTGCCCACACTTTTCGTTATATAGACTTTGTTGTGTTCTACATCAGAGAGGGTTAAGAAGGCATACTGCAGAGTTTGACTTGGAATGCTAGAATACCCATCTGTGCACAGCTTGGCACAGATCAATGGTTTTTAAAGATAACCAGGACAATAGAAATAATCATCATGGTAGGAAAAGGCAAATCTAATGACACACTGAATACAAGATAAAGAGCCAATCTGGAGAAAAAGCAGTAGAGACCTCAGAAATCTTTATCCTTTGTCATTCTTGATTGTTCTGGGATTTTCTTTAATGAAACTGTCAAAAGTTTGATTTCTTTCAACATGAAAAATAATGCCAGTAGTAATTCATTTTCTAGTATATCAGTGTCAGTCTAAAACTATAAGTTAACCTCTTTAAATGCTCTTTAAATTAATGGTTACTGATCATTAATTAATCTTTTTTATGATACAAAATAAATAAAAGCATGGCTTTTGACCTTGAGATGTTTACAAGTATATCTGAGTGATATACATATGAAGTGACTCAATCAAGATTCCAACTGAAAAATGCCTCAGTCCCTTAGAAAGACTTCAGTGGTGAGGGGCTATGCTCCCAGTATCAATATGTCCTATAGTGAACATATTTAGTTCATAAACCAGCCTACTGTTCACTACTTGTAATGGTCAGTTTGATTTCTTTCACTTTTAGATGTAAAAGGGAACTTAGAGACCATCTAGATCATACCCTTCATTTTATGGACTGAGGAAACAGAGGTCTCCAGAGGTTAAGCTACTTGTCCAGGGTCACCCAGATTGATGTTGGTGGCAGAGCCAGTACCAAGACACCCACCCATCTCCTGACCCTGATAAAGTGCCTCTTCCACCAGCCTGTCTGACTTTTGTCTTGAGCAGGGGGTCTCCCCCAGGAAATGGCATACAGTTTAGGACTCAATCAAAGAAGCCTGTATGAGTCTCAATCAAATCTTACCCTTTGTCATCTTTGTCTGTCTGGGTATTCACAACAATGAGATTTTCAAGGCTTTTGGTTCTATAAAACACAAAGAAATTCAAATAAAAGACTGCATATTGAAATAAAATTGTGTGGTATCTTGAAAGGTCAGATACAGTAAAAATTTTTCATGAATTGCTCATTTACTCTTACTGAATAGAGCAGCAGAAATCCTTCTGGGCAATCATGTCCGAACTAAATTTACAATACTGAGTGCACTGCCCCATCTGCTAGTACATTTTTATGCCAGAGGACATAACTCCCTTCCAGCTAATAATGTCTGAAAGAATAAAACAAGCAATCTGGGAGATAATATTTTGAGGTTAGAGACAGACATACTTACATTTTCTCTGTTGGCTCTGCCTTAAGATTTGCTCTAAAGAGACCATCAATACCCTTATTTCTTTAAATGTATTGAACAAAGAGTCTCATCAGTGCTAATAGTGGATACTTAACTCATAAAAACATAGATAAGTTTATACCTAAGACAGGAAAAATAGCTGGCTAGGAAAGATGAGCTACAATTCTTGAAAGCACTTTATTCCAAACAGGTATCTTCCTAGACTCAAAATTTAAATTGCAGTGGACCTTAAAGAAAAGAAAAGATACAGACTGGGGATCTACAAGCTGTAATAGGTTCATGGATGTGTTGTTTGGGTTCATGGAGTGTTTTTGTTTCTTATGTGGACCAATATTTACAAAGCTGGCCATGACATGTAGACACCTGGAGTTTCAGGATCTCCTGAAAGTGTCCTGCAATTTTAGGCTCAAATTCTCACGTGGCAACATCAGCTGGAGCTGAGAAACAGCTGGGCTCTCCCGGTCAGGGCACTCCCTCTACGATACAGAGCCAGCTCCCTTCACTCATCTATCCCTGCCTGGTCCCAGTAGGCCATGAAGTCTGATTCTTAATCTAATGCCTCCTTTCTTTATAGATAAGAAAACGGACATTTGCTTTGTTTCTTCTTCACTTTGGTCCCTGCCCGTTTTGTATGTTAGTGTGCCAAGTAACAGAGAGAGAACTAAAATTGCACAGACCTCTAACACAAACCTCAATTAATATGATCTTTAAGTTATGCAATTACAAATGACTCACAATAAGGAGATAATGTTAACTAAGTAGATGAGTGGTTTTTGTAGTGGTTCATCTACAAGCATTCAGTGACCAAACCAAATTGTTTACATACTAATATATTAGCATTTCAGGAAGAGAAATGTGGTTATTTTTATAACTGCCTTACTAAACACTAGTGTGTGAAAATCAAAGACACTTCAATATTAGTGTCTTTAAATTGTAATAACCATTTATAACAATGATGAAACGATTTCTGCAAGCTTTTTATTCAAGATTTGTAGGATGCTTTTGATTAGCCCAGTATATGGGTCCTCATGCTCAAATACTGAAAAATAACAAAGCAAATTCAGTAATAAAGCGAAAAAATAGATGTTTTAAAATCTTACCTATTCAAGCTTTTGTTCATTTTGATGAGATTATCTAATTCTTCACTTTGGGGAGAGAAAAGAATATCTTACATTAGTAAAATCCTGGGGCAGATTCAGCTTAAAACAACTATTTCTGAGTTCTCTGAAGTTCAACGTATGTCCCACATTTATCATCCACGAAAATCCTCTCTATCTTTCAAAGCTCTCCTCAAACACCCCTTTCGCCAAGAAACCTTTCCCAGTCCTTTAACTGAGTAGAGTCCCCTACAGTTTTGGAAGCCTTGCAGCGTTTTGGATTTTTGTATCTCCTTTACAGTACCTACGTTGCTATACTTTGTAATATAGTAATCATACACTTGTCTCATGTTAAAGTCCTTGCTTCTACCGATACTAGTGTACATAGAGACACACACACACACACACACAGACACACACACACACCACTTAAAATTTTGAAATGTATTTTATATTGGATCCTCTTCAGTGTTTAATACGGGGTTTTTCACACAGTAGATGCTTAATACAGGTTTTACTTGAATCAACAAATACAGGTATGTTGACTAATTATAGATTCTATCTTTGCATAATGTACTTGCACAAAGCAGCTGTTGGAAAACACTCATTTATCAGTAAGTCTGGCTTCTCTCTTGAACTCTACTCTCCCTTATTCCAGTTCAGGTACACTTGCTCTCCTGTTTCCATACTTGAAAACTGTAAAGACTCTACTGACTGCTTCTTCAGGAGCTATTTGTTTAAGCTAACCCCCTGGATTCTGGAATATTCCTTAGAACCACAGGAGCTCAGCCTTCTCCCCAAGGAAGGCAGCCGCAGTGGTTTTTCATTCCTGTTTGCTCCTCACAATATATCCTCTTCTCAATCCTTCTATCCACCCACTTCACCCCCATTTCTCTTGCCTTCCCCACCCAGTTTTCCAGTTCACAAGTCTTGGTTTTCCCTTCTTCCTGCTCTAGCCTTACATATTTTTCACACTTCCTGAATGTTCCTCTTTCTTCTCAAGTCATCATTGATGTTGACCAGGAGGCCATGAGGCCAAGTAACTTTGTAGTTAGACATTCAGGTTCCCAAGTCAGGGATACCTGGATTCTAGTCAGGTAGTTATTAGTTGGTGACTCTGGGTGAGTTACCTAACCTCTTGCTCCCTCAATTATTTTCATCTGTAAAATAAGAATACTAATTGTACCTACCTGAGAAAAGAACCAATAAATTAATGAATAGAAAGTGATTAGGATTATACCTGGCATGTCATAAACTCTCAATTTAATTTTGGCAATTATAGTAAACAGTTTCCAGTCGATATTAATTTTTTCATTTAAAAATGCTCATTATATTTATTTTTTAAACTGAATTTAGAGGCACCAAGACTTTGGCTCAGCCTTAGAGAGCTATGGTCGTTGAGTCAGTAATGTGCTTAGAAGATGCCTGGCATAGCAGATCACCAGAATAACTACTGGAACAGCTCTCTCAGGAATCTGAAAAACTCATTCAATCAACAGCCATCACAGAGATGAATCGTTTCAAGTAGTATTGCATATTCAATGGAAGAACTGAAGGCTGAGAATAAATATAGAAATATGAAAGTTGCTGACCCTGACAAAAAATGGATTAACGTTCTATCCTTGTGTGAGACAAACACTACCCAGTGCCCTGACACAATGCTACATTGTCATTTCTTATTTGAAATTCTACCTTCCAACACTGAGGCTACAAATCTGTTCCATGTCCCCAAGGGAAAGAGCAAACTCTGTAAATTTTAGCCCTAGACCTTTCTGACTGGTGAGTCACAATGATGAGATCAGGATTTGGGCTTCCACGAGAAAATTAACATAAATCATGAGAAGACACTCTGTGGGAAATTAAGTGAAATGGGGGCTGCACTCTGAACAAAGGAGTTGAGTTTTCAAAATGGCCTTAAATTGATGAAAGCTTTGGATATTAAATTTCACCATTGCATTTACAATAAATTAAATGCTCTTAGTCAGATAGGAGTAAGAGTTCATTTTTCAAAGGAGTATTACAAAGCAACTAAGATAAATACAGCTATGTCTCATCCCTCTAGACAGTCCACAGTAACGATTCTCAGCTATTGATGCAAAAGACATTTCCCCTGGCCCACGTCAAAGCAACAGCTTCTCCCCATGAAGAACGTATCTGGCTGTGGAATTTGTGCATCCTGGCGAGGGAGAGGGGACAGGAAAGTTAAACTAACTGCAGCTCTCACTGTTTTTGTTGGACTTGCACCAAACCATAAGTGCCCTTCAGCATCGCTCAACTATCTCTCCCTTAAACACCCACCAAAAATCTATCCAGTCCAAAAAACTGTCCAATCCCTATTAAAAATAAAATATTACCTCAAACAAAAATAATTAAATAAAATTAGAGATCTAGGCATTTAGAAAACAAAGAAATGAAAACATTCAGGATACTTTCGACTATCTCTGTCTGGATCTAGAGCTACTACTTTGTCCATGAGTTTGCAGCAAAGAGCTAAGTGTCACTTCTGTTTCTTCTCTTCAGTTCTCTGACTGAGACTGCAATCCTTAATAACATTCTTAGCACTGCTAAATTCCATTAAACAAGGAAAAATTTTGTAGCCACAGGATTTAAACTATGGAATGTTTATACTCAGGGTTTTCTCACTGCTTATCATTGTTTTACCATTATCTACTATATAAACACTTCTACTTTGCACAAAACATTGTGTCAGACTTTGCAGATGACAGATGGTAGGACAAAATATCTGCTCTAAGAGATTAAAGAGATAATAAAGATGAGACATTTACATAAATACCACAAAACTATACCAAATATGACTAGTTGTTATATAATATGAATAATGGAGCTGTAATAGCTTAGAGAGGCAGAAGTCACATCTCACTGGATCACTCAGGGAAGACTTCACAAAGGAGGTGGTATGTGATCTGGATCTTGAAAAATGGGTAGGACTTGGATGGATGGATATGGTGGCCTTGAGGTTGGAAAAGGCCACCATGTGGATGGAATGGTATAAAGAAAGGCAGAGGCTCCAGAAACTACAGAAAGGAAGTGATTAAATTTGGTACTGCATGTAGGATAAATGTAAGGGTGAAGTCAGAAATTGCTAAGGAATGTTAGGTTGAAGGCAGGTTATCAAAGGCATTGAATGAGGTTATACATAATTCAACAGGCAATGCGGAGCCAGGTGGAGTGATTTTTCCAGCAGAATCGTAGAAAGAAAACTCTGGCAGTGATGGGTAGTAACGGTCTACTGGGGGGAGAGATGAGGAGTGTAAGTCAATCTGGATACCTATTCTGATAACCTGTGATGGAACCAATGATGGTCTGAACTGGGGTGAGGTCGTGGGGGTGTGCAGGGCATTTTAGACATTTAATCCATATGTGCCTAATACTACACAAAGGGGTCAAGACATGAAAGAATAAAAAATGATTCTGGGGGGGGGACCTTTAAGATGGCGGAGGAGTAAGATGTGGAGATCACCTTCCTCCCCACATATACATCAAAAATGCATCTACATGTGGAACAACTCCTACAGAACACCTACTGAACGCTGGCAGAAGACCTCGGACCTCCCAAAAGACAAGAAACTCCCCACGTACCTGGGTAGGGCAAAAGAAAAAACAGAGACAAAAGGATAGGGACGGGACCTGCACCAGTGAGAGGAAGCTGTGAAGGAGAAAGGTTTCCACACACTAGGAAGCCCCTTCACTGGTGGACACGGAGGGTGGGCGAGGGGGCGGGGGGCGGGAAGCTTCGGAACCACGGAGGAGAGCGCAGCCACAGCGGTGCTGAGGGTAAAGCGGAGAGATTCCCACACAGAGGATCGGTGCCGACCAGCACTCACCAGCCTGAGAGGCTTGTCTGCTCACCCGACGGGGCGGACGGGGGCTGGGAGCTGAGGCTCGGGCTTCGGAGGTCGGATCCCAGGGAGAGGACTGGGGTTGGCAGCGTGAACACAGCCTGAAGGGGGCTAGTGCACCACGGCTAGCCAGGAGGGAGTCTGGGAAAAAATCTGGACCTGCTGAAGACGCAAGAGACTTTTCTTGTCTCTTTGTTTCCTGGTGCGCGAGGAGAGGGGATTAAGAGCGCCGCTTAAAGGAGCTCCAGAGACAGGTGCGAGCCGCCGCGATCAGTGTGGACCCCGGAGACAGGCATGAGACGCCAAGGCTGCTGCTGCCGCCACTAAGAAGCCTGTGTGAAAGCACAGGTCACTCCCCACACCTCCCCTCCCGGGACCCTGTGCAGCCCGCCACTGCCAGAGTCCTGGGATCCAGGGACAACTCCCCCGGAAGAACGCACGGCGCGCCTCACACTGGTGCAACGTCATGCTGGCCTCTGCCGCCGCAGGCCCGCCCCGCACTCCGTACCCCTCCCTCCCCCCGGCCTGAGTGAGCCAGAGCCCCCGAATCAGCGGCTCCTTTAACCCTGTCCTGTCTGAGCGAAGAACAGATGCCCTCAGGCGACCTACACGCAGAGGCGGGGCCAAATCCAAAGCTGAACCCCAGGAGCAGTGCAAACAAAAAAAAGAAAGGGAAATCTCTCCCAGCAGCCTTAGGAGCAGTGGATTAAATCTCCACAGTCAACCTGATGTACCTGCATCTGTGGAATACCTGAATAGACAACGAATCATCCCAAATTGAGAAGGTGGACATTGGGAGCAACTGTAGACTTGGGGTTTGCTTTCTTCATCTAATTTTTTTCTGTTTTTATGCTTACTATAATTGGTAGATTTGTTTATTGATTTGGTTGCTCTCTTCCTTTATTTTATATATATAATATATATATTTTTCCTTTTTCTGTTTTTGTGAGTGTGTATATGTATGCTTCTTTGTGTGATTTTCTCTGTATAGGTTTTCTTTTACCATTTGTCCTAGGGTTCTATCTGTCCTTTTCTTTTATATATATAGTTTTTAGTGCTCGTTATCATTGATGGAATTGTTTATTGGTTTGGTTGCTCATTTCTTTTCTTTTTTTATTATTTTTAATTTTTTTTTTTTAATAATTTATTTTTTTAAAATTTTTAATTATTTTCTTTCTTTTTTTTTCT